ATTATTTTTCATATTTAAATAATTTCATATTTAATCTTTATTGGGATTTACAAGGGAAAACCGAAATATACAGCAGGATGCGAAGATTCCATGTTAGTTTCCAGATTCAGTCAAGGTTTACTTGACTTTCTAAATGCGGGGAGTTTGAGATATCCATTATCGTGAATGTTGACAAAACAGTGTCGTATATTCAAATAATGGCAACCCTCAGCATGCCTCTAATTTCAAGATACAGGTCAACAGGCTAATTGCCTTTTTTTTTATTTTTGAAAACGTTAAACTCTTTGAGCACTAGACTGTAATTTTATTATTATTATTAAAATGTTGAGAAACTATAATCTGAGTCTCCAAAATATTTCTTACAAAGAAGACCAAATTCGATTTAATGCAAATAATGCTCAAAATGTATGTTTACCGACTGTCTGTGTCCTTTTTTATACTTTATCTCAGTAGCTAGAGGTTTTGCGGAGTCAAAAATGATACGTGGATTTTCGATAATGTTTTGGGTCATTGCCTGCTTTATTCAAATTCAGCAGTCTAAATGTAAATGGAATAAATTAGAAATATATCGAACTGTTTAAGTTACGTTTATGGCCATTGACTTGCCATATTATTTAGTGGAGTATCAGTGCTGCATTTAATGAAAACCTCGAAATGTCACAACATTTGTGTAAATTTATAAATGCAAGTAATGTATAAAAATTAAAACTAGATTTCAGATTATTTTGTGTCATATACTGGGCATCGGATTTTCCCAGTGTTATGAGGATTTAAATTCGCTTCTTTTTAATCATGAATAATGCTTAATGTCATATTTCTTTTAATGTTTCTTTTAATATTTCAACTTCAGTCTGAAATAAATTTTTATATTTCAAGAAGTAAATACGATCCCATTTCCTTAATGATACGTTCCGTGAATTCCTTATTCAGTTTTTTCAGTTCTTTAATTATACAGAAATTCCATTATTTTTTTAATTATACAAATGCTAAAATGTGTGTCTTTATTTATACGAATGTTAAATGTTGCTGGATCACAGAGATGAGGACGTTTGATTTCCTAAATTTATAACATTGTGTTTGAACCTGCTTTTCAGAAGACACTTTCTTTTCAGTTTTCAAGGGCTGATGTGTGTATGCTTAATAGTTAATATGCCTGAACAGAGATGGGCGGGTTGAGGCACTTGCCTTCGGTAAAAGATATGAAAGAATGCAAAATTAAAATGTACTATTAATTATTATAATAAATATTAATGGGAAAAGGGTAAAGAAATTGCTTACGGGGCGTAATTTTCATATTCATCTCAATTGTTAAGATTTGTTGATTGGCTGTATTTCTGAAATCTTGTTTATTGGTAAGTTAAATTAATATAAAGAACTCTTTTAAGCTTTACTATAATACGACCTCATCTGTTGGGTAACTTTCAATGTGTTAAACAATGAAGAAGGACTGGATAGTAAGGATAGAGATGGTATGAGAAATTCGAATCCTTGAATCCTTCTGTTAAAAAGATTAAAAAAAAAAAAAAAATCCTAGATTCGAAAGCAAGAATGTTTGAGTTAATTATTCGTTACTTAAATCGTTCAAATCATAATTCAGAAGACTGTTAAACATTTTGACTCACGAGTGTACAAGCCAGTTTCTCTTAGAAAGTCCACCATGAACGCATCCCTCCCTTAGGCAGATAGCCCTCGACTGCTTTGCCATAAACAAATCAAACCATGTTGACTTAAAAGATAATTTTCTGTCGTCTGTTAAAAGCATTCATTAAAAAAAGAACTTGATAGCTGCGATTCCAGTAGTACGTGGATCTCAAGTATCATCTCATGGCGACTTTGAGTACTGCAGTGTGTGCTGTTATAACTGCTTCATAAACAAATTTTTGATTTTTTTTCTTAATTTTCTGAAGCGTATTTAGAGTCCAATGTTTAATGTTTTTTCGTAAGTTCTTGAAATAATCCCCCCCCCTTTTACACTTGCTTGGATTTAAAACTATTCTTAAAAACTCTAAAAAATGTTAACTCTTAGTGAAGCATTTTTTTGTCAAACCATGCTGTGAAAATTCATCTCAAGATTCAAGAATTTTAATTCAGAATTTCATTTACTATATTTAATTCTTCTCTTAATAAATCTACATGTATTTTTAAAAACATTATCTATCTATCTATCTATCATTTATCTTTCTGTCTGCCTGCCCCATTGTCTCTTATATATATATTTAAGAGATTATTATACCAAATTTAAAATACATATTAAAGATTATCCTTTTTTAGAAAAAAATATTTAAGGGTGTTACTATTACCTCATCTTAATTAGTAGTGAAATGTTAAATTATTAGATAAAATAATAAAGCTGGAAAAAGTTTTTCCTTAAAAAGGTAATTAAAGTTTGAAAAATATAAATGGGAGAAACAAACAAAAACTATTAATCACCCTCTGCTTAATGTTTCAAACAGAACTTTCAAGGGGTTAATATATAAAATGTTAAACCCGGATAATTAATGAGTGCCGAACACACATTTCGTTTTTCCTGCTATTATGAGAGTAAAATCGCTGATAATATGTCTAAAACTGTTAATATAATATTTCTAATAGTCCGATGGTGACAATTACCCCGCCATTATCTGGCATCTTACCAGTTAAAAGTAAATAATAAAAGTAAATTCATAATCAAACTAAATTGAAAATCAAAATTGTACAAAAACAAAATTCATATCAAGTTAAAAACCTAGAAAAACTATATAAAACATTCGAAAACGTTATTCTTTTTAATAAATAATGAAAACGCACCAATGGCGCTTAAACAAAATTAAAATGAAGCTCAGTTAGGTACTTCTAAGTTTCAACATGCTAAAAAGCAAGCAATTTCCCGAAAAGAATCGAAATTACTGCTAGAGTATATATATAATTTTGATTCTTTATATATATATATATTTGAATGTAACACATATTCTCTATTTGTATAAAGCTAATTAAAATTTTAAATAGTGAAAATTTAATTGTATACTAATAAAATATTAATTATTGCTGCGAATTAATTTGCCATTCAAATTCAGAGAGCATATGAAAATTAAGTGCAAGTATCTGAAACCAAGAAAAAAATTATTTAATAATCCAAAAAAATAATCGCAAAAATTGTAAGAATTTTTAAGGCTGAATAGGAATAAAATTAGACTGACTAAGACAATTAAGACTGAATTAAATAAGACTGACTAAGAATAAAATTTTGGGGATTAATTTTTTGGATTATTAAATAATTTGTTCACAGTTTTAGATACTTGCACTTAATTTGCATATTCTCTCTGAATATATATATATTCGTAATTAAATTTGACTTTTCCTAGGAGGAAAGGATGATAAAATATTAATTTTTAATTAAAAAAACTACTAAAATTAGAGATTTTTGAAAAGCAATACTATTATTAAAGGTAGTGTATATTGTTGAAAGCAAAAAATTGAATAGGTATTAAAAACTTTTAATTATAAAATTATAAAAAATTATTTACAAAAAAACTGTTTCCGAATGTGAATTTTCAAGGAGAATTAGTGTCTTTCCATAAAATCCCCAACAAATCAATATGTATGCATTTCCTTAAACGAAGGTTTCAAATTTTACTTATATTACAAATTCTTAAGTAAAGGTTATTTATTATTACTGTTATTATTATTGTTTGAAAGGTTTGAAAAATTTCAGAATGTTTTAAAATTCTGTCTCTAGAAGATTTAAAATACATCTCAATTAAGGATAAAGCATTATTAAAATAATTACGCATTAAATCATTTTTGTGCTTTTAGAACTTTTCTCATATTTTCCGCTTATTAATTTTCTTTTAGTTTATCAGAACAAAATGAAATTACACAAGCTATTATTTACCATATACTTTAGTACCAGTTCTCATATTTGAATAAACTATTAATTAGTTGAGAAACTATGGGATCTATCCTCCCTCTGACTATGGTATTTCAGCGAAATTCTCAGAATTCATGAGCAATTATTGATCAAGCTCTTTATTTCTTTGTCTCATTACTTTGTAACCATAGAAACAGTGACTCTATCCCTTCAGAAATAACGTGGTTCCTAGTCATTAGAAGGATTTTTGGATTAGAAATCTGCTTTATTCGTAACGTATTTCTACCTAAGAACTTTGTTTGTAAAAGGTATAACAGTCTTCAATACTTTTCTAATACCTGGAATTTGCGTGCAATCTGACGATCGAACATTTTTATATGTAGGATCTTCGCATTTTTATATGTTAGGAAAACCATTTTTTTCGTCGAGCTTATTGTACAACTGAAGAATTTTTCAATCGCCGAAATTTTAGTTAATGATTCTGTGCAAATATATATCATAGCCAAAAGTCTCATTCGGCTTTAAAACTTACCCATTTCGCACAAAAATGTAGTCACAGTTGGGAATTATCTGAAATCAGACTTGCAGATCCGAACGTAAAATTTTGCTTGTTGCCTCAAATGTATGCCATTAGTTTTACTTTAATAATTTTTCTTATTAAATTTTTCATAAAGCTAGGAATGATATCGTATTTGATCATGATCCAACATGCATTCTATATGAATATATTTGAAATCGAAACCTCTAATAATTTTGATGAGCGAACAATTTGTTCTGCTTCATCAAAAAGATGCCTTGTTTAAAATAATTATTAAACGAGCTATAGAATAACTTGGATAAGTAAGTGTAATAAAAAGATATTAATCTTGGATATAATTTTACCTACTATAATTAACTTTACTTCAAGTTTTCACACCGTTTTCATCGACTTGTTCTTGAAGAAGTAGAATAATCAATATATATTATTTATAATATGGCATTCGTTGATGATCAAGGTGTTCGTCTAGCGCAGCCAAAGTTTTTAGATTTGCTTTCGTTGAAACCTCAGTTTAAAGATGAGGTTCAAAATGCATTATATAAACTCCCTGAAATGAAGCTAAGACCAGAGAAGATTTCCGAAGAAGAAAACTTAATAAAACCAGAATCATGGAAAAGTACTAAAAGTTTCCCTTATATGGACCCTGTTCCAAGTTCCATGCTTCATGTAGATATCAAAGAACTGAGTACCGTAGATATTGATTGGAAAATGTTGACTTTGGATAGACCAGAAACTATATTGGAAATTAACATTTTTAGCAGGTAAGTAAAAAATTAAGAACCAAGATTTTTTTTTTTTTTTTTAATTTGAAAGAACAACAATTTTGTGTAAAGCAAATTAGTACCCTCTCCCTTCACTTTTAATGAAACATTTCGTTCTGTACTTGTTATCTATATTTTAACTAAATAGCTTCTGTTTAATGCTGCAGAACTAAAGAACATGTTTTTGATTGTTTTAATGGTATTATTTTATACGTATTACATGGTAGCCGTAGGAAATTTAATTTTTGAGCAAATTACGCATCTTTTCATCATTTGAGGAAAAATAATTCTCTCTGAACCTAGAGCTGAATAGCATATTATAATTTGCTAATATTGCAGTCTTGCTATTTAGTTCAACGAAAAATAATTTTAAGTAAATAATATTAATTGGACAATATGTAAATATTACGGGAATATTCTTGAAATTCTTAATTTCTTTGGTTTGCATTGGACATGCGACTTATCTCATTTGTCTGACATCAGCATCAGAACAAGTCTACGAATTTTATCGTGCAAGGAGCGTAGGACAACTTCAATCGTTAATATGGATCTTGAGCACTTTAAGTACGATTCTCCCAGCTCCGTTTCAGTTTTGTGCGAGAATCTATGGGGAACGAATGCGAGGGCTTCCCACCCCTTTTTTTACTACCACTAAGCCACTTGAGACTTTTGGGTCACCATGCATTTTGAGTGCTCCCATGCCACAGAGACACTATACACTTATAAACATCTAAGCATTCTTCGGTATTTGAACCTGGCGCAACAACTGATACGGCAGCCAGCATCGCTAACCATTATACCGACAAGTGCATAGTACCTATATTAAGGTTAACAGTGTATGGATTACAATAGATTTCCAGTATAAAAGTGATAATATCTTTCCAAGGAGCTTTTGCGTTTATAATGCAGTAAACTTCTAACTTCAGTATCTGTACCTCTGCGTTGGAACACGTTACGGAAAAAAAGCTATAGTTTCTTTTTTATGATTATTTTAACGAAAGAATCAGCGGAAACGATAGCATTTGCTTTGCACAACTACACCGATCCATTTATTTGAATCAATTTATTTTGTGATAACATCATTACCTTCTTGTATAGCAGTGCGAACTCTTTTTATATTCGAAAAAATGACGCAAAATGATGTCATGAAGCCTTCCTAAGGTAAACACTCATGTTTCTAGACGTATTTTGTTTTCTGTGAAGATGATCGCTGTTAAGATTATAATAATTGGTGATGTTTAGTATCGATGTTTGTTTGCATTCTCAGAAATACTGTTCAATTATTCGTATAATACTTTAGAGGTAGTTGTCTATAGTGATCAAAATTCAATTTTGGTTGTATAATTCAAAGTGAGGTTTAGCTATTACGGTTGTTGTATGTCATGATTAAACGTGCTCTTAAAATCTTATATTAATCAAAATAAGAGACTGTTAGCCATACAAAAGCAAAATGTGTAACTGAGATTATTTATTTATTTAATCATGTTTGTTTTCAGACTTCAAATGCGCATAGTCAGCTATCGGAACTGACACAACTAGAGACAGAATATAGGGTCTCAATAAGTCGGAGTCACGAGGGGCGTTACATTTTAAGAAGCCCTCAAAGTTAGGCTAACTAATTAAAAAAATAATAAGCTTATTTTTTGTTTTGTTCCCAAGGCTTCAGGCGTATATTTCCAACTTCATAAAATCGGGAAATGATCGCATATGAGACATTAATATTAACTTGACTATGAGCGAATGAACGTTGTAATTAACACATACGGTATTAATTACAACGTTCATTCGCTCATCTATAAACAAGGAATTGCACCCTTCATTATGTATGGCTCTAGAGCCTGGGGTATATCGCTCAAGAAGAAGATAAATTATAGATATTTACGACGCGTTCAAAGACGGATACTTCTGCGGGTCATATGTGGATATCGTACCGTAAGCTATGAGTCTGTTTATGCAATTTCTGGCTTTTCTCCAATTGACATTGCCATTCTTCATTCTACTGCTTATAAGGAAAATATTTCTGCTTCTACTGTCTCTCAGTATGATTCTATTTTACCTCTATCTGATTTCCCTCATCCTTCAGAAAGAAATGCTATTAATTTTATTCAGTTTAGCAATAAAATTGTGGATGATTCGCCTGTAACTTGCTATACTGATGGCAGCAAAATTGATGGCAAGGTTGGTCTCGCATTTGTTGTCTTCAAAAATGGTCTTGAATTTGAGCACTTTCAATTTAGAATCAGAGATGAATGTACCGTTTTCATAGCTGAACTTTTGTGCATAAACTTCGCCGTCAAATGGGTCTCTAAACAAAATAGTGCTGTTTCAGACTATCTCATTTGTACTGATTCCCTTTCATCCTTGGAGATCTTAAAATGTATTTCTTCTTCTAATAATATCATTATTGAGATTCAAAAAGAACTGAAGAATCTAAAGGATAAAAATATTTCGGTTTCATTTTCATTTGTTCGTGGTCATACAGGTGTTGTTGGGAACGAACGAGCCGATTTCCTTGCTAAGACTGCGACTAAGCGGGAAATTGACACTTTTGTCAATATCCCTAATTCCTTCTATAAGAAGGTCATGTATGAAAGCATTGTGGAGTCGTGGAATCACGAATTCGTTAGTTCAAATAAAGGGAGTTTAACTAGGAGATTTTTCCCTTCTATTAAAATGAGATTGTCGTGTCATCATTTCTTTACAAATTACAAATTAACCCAGTTTCTTACTGGACATGGAAATTTTAAAAGTTATTTGAACAGATTTAAGTTGAATCCTGAGTCTGTCTGTGACTGTGGCCTCGGCGGCGAGGAGAATGTAGAACATGTGCTTCTTCTATGTCCTAAATATGAGAGCAAAAGAAAAGTCTTGAAACTGGGACTGAAAAATTTTAATATTAACTGGCTTCCAGAGTTTTACCAATTTATTTCCGAGAGAATTGCTTTTAACACTTTTTGTCAATTCATTGTAAAACTTTGTAACCATCCTTGATTTTATTTCAATTTTCTCTTGTTTATTTTGTATTGTGTTTCATACTTACTTCTGTAAGCCCCATGTGATACTATGTGGTACATGGGGAACTTGTTGAGTTTCTTAAAAAAAAAAAAAAAAAAAAAAGCGCATACTCAGCTATCGGAACTGACACAACTAGAGACAGAATATAGGGTCTCAATAAGTCGCAGTCACGAGGGGGCGTTACATTTTAAGAAGCCCTCAAAGTTAGGCTATATTTCCAACTTCATAAAATCGGGAAATGATCGCATATGAGACATTAATATTAATTTGTAGCGTATTCAACCATTTACTGTGACTATGATCAAACACTATTAATTTTAAATAAAACACTTTTTAGTTTTGTTATTGCGACTATACAAGTGGCATTTGCTAATGAAACACTGTAATAAATTTTAACCTATATAAGTTTGTGGAGATAACTTTGAGATAAATATTTTAAATACTAAAACTTACTGACTTGAGTTAATGAAATAAACTATTTTCTTCATTAAAGTAAACTTCAATTTCTTCACCGATAGGCAAAAATTTAATGTAGTCTGCTTTTAATAAAAGTTTAATTTAACAATAATGTTTTTAAAAGTATATTTATGTTTATGAAAAAGATTTAAAGAAATTTGGCGACGAAGTACATACTTTAAATTATTGAAGCTTTAAGTTCATTTTCTCTGAACCCTTTGAAAAAAAAAATATTGGAATAACAATTAAAACCTTGCACAATTTTCTAGAATTTGTTTTTGTAAATCAAAGCAAGTGAAGGAGAGAAGGATTATTTTAAGAACTAACAGAGATAAATACTAAACGTGAAATAACAAATTCTTGCCAGAGAATTAAGGAAAAACAAAACTTGTTTATTTTAAAAGTTAATAGGTGTACACTTATTAGTGTGGTACTCAGAGTCCCCGCGAGGTTGATAATGGTGATCCAGGTACTATTAATATTCCAAAAGTCGCCTCCTTTCTTTTATTGGACCTTCAAATCAAACTGATATTTCCAAAGTTTAGTGTTAAATGCGTAATGGTTTTTGAAGTTAGGAATTCGAAAATTGTTATGACGGGAAAAAATAAATAATCGCGAAGATTCGAGTTAACGAATTTTGAAACGTTTTAGTAGAATATTACTGCTGTCGCAAATACATATTTAGACAAAATTTGAAAAAAAAAATTATTCGGTAGAAGGATCTCAAAATTTAATTTGAAGATTTGACTTAAACAGATAAACTGAGAAACAAAGCTAAATTAAACTATGAGAAAAGTGAAATGTATTTGCAAAAAATTGATGAGAACAAGAAAGGCAGCTGCGTAAAATACCCGCCAAAAATACGGTCTCATACCGATTGATTTGGATGAGAATAAAATTGGGTTTTGGGTTGAACGTGTAAGAGGTACACTGCAAGAGTATTTAATGATTTTTTTTTTTTTTTTTGGCCTTTTCCAAGGACTTCAAGCATGAAAACCAATTCATGGTCAATTTCAAATGTACGCTTTCAACTCTTCTAAATGAATTTATGTTAATTTGTATATGATTTATATATTGTTTTAGTAAGATTTTATCTTTGTTAGTGTCTGTTTGTCAAACACAAAGTAGTTTTGAAATAAAAAGAATCCTTTTGGCAGAGCAAACTTGCATGAAAAGTAAGTATGTTTTTAGTTTATGATGTTTTAATGTTTTATTATAAGATTTAATATTTATCAGTATCTGCGTTTTTCAAATACATTAACGTTAAAAAAATCTAGCTGAGGAAGTTATAAAGTTTGACTTGTTTTGGAAGCACAAATTAAGTCCAAACTTTTTAACAGGCTTGAAGTGAATTTTTCCTTCGTATGAAACAGAGCTACAAAATCTTACGAAAGTTTAACAATATTTTTACTAAATCAGAACTGGAACATAAATGCATGACTCATGCTTACAAATCAGCCAATCACGTGTGGTGATGTAACTTAAAGTAACAGTCAATTCAGATTTCAAATTAGAACTAGTAGCCAAGGGCTGCAGAAATGTTTTAATGACAGAATGAAGTTAATTCAAAACTTCCTATCAGCGTAACAATTTAAATACCGGCAACTATAATGCAGACCGAGGCAGTAAATATTAACTAAGCTAGCTAATCTAGTTAACGTGGCCTTGAGGGGCAGAAACATACCCTGTGTTCAATCCGAAAATCTCACGTTATATTTTTATTCTGGTAAAAAATCGGAAGAGAGAAATGCTAATAAAATAACAGGAATCTTATAAAGTTTATGTGAAAAACAAAAGACTGCATGCTATAATAATGCATCAGGAAAATCTGCTTGAAAAGTATGGATTTGTCAACGAAAGCGAAATTCAGTAAGAACCTTGTGTAGTTTAGGGCTGTAGCTTTGTTGGTTGGCTGCGAAGAGTTCATTTTTTACTACAGGAGAATTAGTCTTGAGCTGAAAATCGACTAAAAGCTACGGGGGGTATAAAGGCGTTGAAAGCTGGGAAAAATGCGTTCGATGAACAGGAAAATCTGTAGTGAAGTATTTTTATTAATACTGCTAGCCGCTCTTTTGAAGGCCAATATCGCGAGATATTTTAGCCATTCTTCTTGCAAAACCATAACTCTTTCAATTCATGATGACAATGGAGGTGGAAAACATTTTCTTGTCCGCTAGTATATCCCAGGCAGGTACAATGGTATTGTTTGCATTCGTATTCTGATTCTTCGTGTGGAGGGGGGGGGAGGAATGTCCTCCGTGATTTATTTTATTATTTTATCTTTTGTTACTTCTGTTATAGTGAGAAATTATGGCCATAGACTGATGTGTAAAATTAAGAGAATTTATAAATTATATCTATTTTTACGAAAGGTATTGAATCAAAAGTATTAATTATGCCACCGAAAAGTTGAGCAAATATTCCAAATACAAGTCAAATACATAAGCGTACACATGTGTGTCTGCGCAACTGTGATTGTGGACGGGATATAAGCATAGGAGGGTTTTTGGCGATATGTGTACTTGTATTTCTTCACTATATTCGCTGTGTTTCTCGCAAGAGATGGGTAAATTTTATAAGGTACCAGGTAAAATGGTAGCCATTGAACGTATGAATGACGGGATGAGACGAAGAATGGTCGGTAGATTGGAGGTAAGCCAATCACAAGCGCAGGTGGCTACAGAGCTCACGTAACGCTCAGTGTCGTCTGAAATTTGTGGACACAGTTTCAAGATACTGGATCTATACCGGGAGGACCTGGACAAGGTCGACCAAGATCAGTGCCGGGTTTACGTATAAGCTGCACGAGCTGTAGTTTAGGACCCCAATTTCTTGGGGCCACCCACACAAATTGTACCATATACCATATAAAAAAATTGACTGATATCCCTCATAAAAAGGCCCTCATGTCTCAAATAGCTTAGGAACTCGTCAAATTTAAGTCAGGTCCTGACGAAGATCTACAACAGAATGAATATAATTATTTGGCCTTTTCAGCAAGGCGACAGAGAATTGCTTTAGCTGCACAGTTCTTACGTGGAACTGCGAGGAACTGTAACACAATCTACTTTTGCTGGAAGGCTTCATGAGATAGGGTTGCATGGCAGAAGACGCGTTGTTAGAAGAGAACGCGTTTAGCGTGATGCAGACAACATGCGGCTTGGACCAGACTTCAGTGGAGATCCGTGCTTTTTACAGATGAGTCGAGATTCAACCTGAACACTGATTCTCGACGTATCTGTATCTGGAGGAAGCTTGGAACACGATACTACCCCTTCGTTTTCAGGAAAAAGGTTCATTACGGTGGGAAGTGTAATGGATTGAGCAGGCATTGGACGGCCGCACACCCCAGTAAGTTTTTGACAAAGGTTCCATGACTGCTATGAGGTATAGAAAGGAGATCTTAGAACCTATGTTAGAATTTTCAGGGGCGCAATTGGTCCTGGTTTCGACAACGTTCGTCCACATAAATAATTAGCTGGTCGACTATTACCTGGAAAATAAGAATATTCGCCACATGGACAGACCAGCCAGGTTTTCTGACCTTAACCCTATACAGCATATCTGGGACGCTTCGTAAGGACAATTTCATTCCTCCATACCCTTCCGAGAACCATCCCAAAATTTAAGCTTGCCTTGTTGCAGGTGTAGGATCGACTGTCATACAGACTCCCCAAGTGGCTCCTGTCCTGTGCGCTGTCATACTGCGCGACCTATCTAGCTACGAGAGGGAACAATACCCCATATTAGACTCTTTTTTAGTTCCGTGTAACATGATTTTGGATCATTTGGTTGATTTTGGACATCTATGCACTATGACCTTGTAAGGTATATTTTAATTTTATAACAGTTATTTTAATTTAGTGAACCTTTCCTATCATATCTCGATCAACTCACAACTCCCTACCAGAATGATTTTTTTTAAAAATCGCGTTGAATGCAAATGAAGAAGAGATAGTATTAAAGGAAAGTTAAACTGACTTCGAAAGAGAGAATTAGAAATCCTGAGTAACGCGCGTTTGCCTTTGGACTACGTCTCTCTAAGCTGTTATTATTACGTGCCTTTTGATAGTTCGACGGCTAGTTTAAGATTGCGGGCCAACTACATTAAAACTGTGTTAGCTTCTGCAAAATCTCTTAGTTAGTCATAGTTAAAGTACGTCCATTAGTTTCTCAGAAATTCTATTCAATGTGCATATTCTCTTGCATGCGAGTATATTTTAAACAGTTTCACGTTCACCGCTTTACGCCAACAGTGGTGAAGGTCCTTTATTCTGTAATTTAAAAAGAAAAATCATGTAAAAGTTGTTTGATGAAAGGGATGTGTAAGAAATTGATTGAAGTTCGTTCGTAATTCTATAGTGTAAGCAGAATTCGCATAAGACGAATAGAAGATAAGAATGCTGCTATTAATAGGAGTAAAGTATCAATTATGTCATGCGTATCGTGCGAATTTATTGTTGTGTTTTAAATGCTTATGCATTACGGTACTTTAAATGTTAAGATATTAATATGTGATTTTTTTTGTAATATGAGCATGGTAATGTTTCTTTGAAGTATTCGATTTCAGTTATTGATTTAAGATGCAATATATAACATTATAGTGTTTAAAATAAAATATTAAACTCAGAGACTAATTAAGAAACAAATAAATACTAGTTCTTGAATATCGAAAGTTATGTATACAAGTTATATTAATTTATATTTCTGTTTTATTTTAAAGACTCATAAGTTACGTAAGAAATTAAAAAAGCAATTTTTTAAGTGATTAATTGTATTGTTTTATTTCAGAATAGTGTATCTTAATAAACTGATGTACGAGAGTATAATGAAAGAAAAAGAGAAGCGAGATCGATTACGCCTTGTTCGGTTACGGTCAAGTAGCCGAATGAAAGTCTCGTTGGAAAGCGATAGTGATAAATCAGACGAATTCACATATGAATATTTCAGTCGTAGTTTTAGTGCAAATGACAGAGGACAAGCAATGGAAGATGTGCCTAAGACGCCAGTGGAAAAACCTGAACCTCAGCCAAAACCTGACGATTCAAACAAAGAAACAATGCCACCAGAAGCTGAGAAAAATAGTAGAATAATTGCTTCAAAAAGACGAAAATTACCATCAAAAAGGAAGAAGAAAAAGAAAAAGAAGAAGAAGAAACCAAAATTACGAAAACAAAAAATGGGAACATCTTCTAAAGCAGCTAAAACTGATGCAAGAAATAAAAATTCTAAAAAGATTTCACCAGTTCCTAGTAAAACTTCTAACCAGAAGAAAGTCGCGCAGTTAAAAACGAAAGGTGTAAATAATTCAAAGAAAAGAAAGGGTAAGAAATCAGAATCAGGTATAACGTTAGTGCAGATGCTAAACATGACTGAAACAGCAGAAAAAAAGCGCACAAGCAAATAGCTTAAACACTTTTTATTAATTGCAGAATAAAAATAATTAATTAAACAATTATTAAAATTATCATTAAAAATTCTGTGCGCTAATCCGAACTTAATCCTATCATGATGCAAGATTACGCATCTAAAATGCTAAAATTCTGCCAAAAAACTGAAGAATTAACGAAGATAATTTTTGTTTACTTAAAAAAGTTTTGAGAATTTCAATATGTGTTGTGACTTTTTTTTATTTGAATAAATGTTTAAGGCTCTTTAAATGTGTTGATATTTCATCCACAAAGATTACGCATGCAATAATATTATTGCTTGAGCAATTTATATCAGCATGCAGTGAAATGCATTAATGTATTTGTATCAGATACTAATACGACTTAAATACTCTTTACAGTTATAGTAAATGCTGATTTGAACCAATCATATTCTTCTTGGTATGGATTTTGTCATTTTCTGAATCAAGTGCTAATTATATTTCGGGTTTTAACCTAAGATTTCAGACGCATTTTATGACGTACAATTAAATGAGAATTTATTTAAGATTATTAAGTTAGTATTAATTTAAACCTTTTATTTAAAAACGCTTTGTGCATAGGTGGTCTCTCCTGGGGGCCTAAGATCTGTACTTAGATTCGACTCCTGGAATAAATAGTTTGTCTTCACAGGACTAGAGCTACCGGCTATTCAATAGTCAGTTCAGCAGAGACCGTACGGATATTGTCAGGTCTGTCTTGGTCTGATTTAGGTAACTAGATCGCACTATTAGATACGCTCCAGAGTTGGATTAATAGTAATGGTGTATGGGCTTCGAGCCTGGATCAAAGCCTCTCTCTGGTTTCTTATATATAGCTGGTGAAATTTAAATCAGTCTACTGATTTCATGTGAGTTTCAAATAACTCCAAGAAGATTAAGACATAATTTTAATTAGCTTCTCTTTTTCAAATATATCGTGAAAAGAAAAAAAATAAGGAACATAAGGTAACCTTTGAAGTGAAAAAAGTTATATAACTTAAAAACATTCTTAGCATATAGATGAAAATAATTATGATCGCATTAAATTTTACAACAAAAGTTTTTTTTGTTTTTGTGTGTGTGTGATGGTGTGTGCACATGTGTGTGAGGATTGTTACTGATTTCTAAATAGTCATCCCTAGCAGAAGAACATTTTGAACAATTAAAACGCCTATTTCTTAGCAAAGATAAATGAACCTTTAGCAAACATGGGATACTTATAAAAGCGGTTGAGTTGGGTATGGGTTTTGGTTTGGTTTATTTAATTACGACGAATCTCTCGAAGGGTATCTGCATAAGGAGAGGGATGTCTTTGTAGGGAAACTGGCTCGTCTACACATTACGCATGAAGAAAACCACGAAAATCCCATGCAGTCAGCCAGTTCGCCAGGGTTCGAGTGCAAGTCGGAACTAATAGTGTTCAACGACTTCACCGCTGGGCCGCTGGAGGGCCAGAAGCTACGAGACTCTATTTTATAAGAATGTGTGTGGACACTTAACTTTTAATTGGCACGGTAAAAATTTTGTACCCATTTCTTACAGTCGGACTTATTCATAAATAAATTCATTTTGAAATAAAACACTCTCAATTTCGCTGAAAACGAAACAACACGCCGAAATATAAATGTTGTTCTTTCCGTGAATAAAACAAAGTATTAGATGAAGGCTCTGAATCCGTATTATAGTCAGTCGAAGATTAACAGTAAATATATTCGTTTGTTAGTAAAAAGCTTGAGTAATTTTGTAAGGTATTTTTCTCCCTTCATACTGCGTACATTTCGTGGTGTAATTGGAAAACATGTCCAGCAGGCAATATGAGGTCACGAGTTCGAATCCCATCGAGGGAACTGAACATTTTACAGGTCTCTTGGCTTCGAAATAAAGTGCCTAATGGTCTTTACGATGTAATCAATCACTAGTTTAAGCAAAACCTAATTCTCTAATACTTAACCACGGTGATAAGTCTGACAGTCCGCGTCGATTTACTACTTTCTGGAAATGTAATTCAGCGAAAGAATTTTATCGCTGTCTGTTTTAGAGCATAATCCACATTTTAATTCTATCCAAGTTTTAGAGCACAGTTTAGTAATATACACATTATAAGATTGAATTTATTTACGAAAAATTTCACGTAATTTATCAGCTTCTTTGAAATATGAGGAACGATAATGGACATGCGACATTATTCAGACCCGATGATAAAGGCTTAATCCTTAATTTTAGAGCTTTTTTGTATATTTATAAATATAGTAATAAAGTTATATGTAACACCGAAATTGTTTCATTCCCAAGAACCTCACCAAAGTGCTGCAGCAAAATATCAATATAGTAAAGGTGAATTGGAAAAAGAAACAAGCCAGGGTAAATTTTAAAATTGGACAAAAATGAATCTTAATTTGGCATAAACTTAAATAAAACTATATAGAATTCCAGGGCTATCCAACATAAGTCTCCCAGGGGGAAACACTTTTGCAGAAGTGCGAGGACAAGACAACCATTTTATAATTAGTGAGCGGAACAAAGCGAAATCGAACGTTGCGCCATCTGCAGAGAAGAAGTTTAGTTTGTTTAACCAAGAATTCTTTTATATAGAATAGATGAGTGTGATTGAAATAAGATCAGGATTTCTGATTCAAATTGAGATCAGCAGAAGTTAATTTTTTATGGAAAAGTGTGCAAGAACTATCTAGCTAAAGGGGCCTTAATGGTGGAATTTTTAAGTAAACTGGTTCAGGTTCACATTACACGTGGTGAAAACCACAGAAACGCCCGATCAGACATTCCATACGCGGGAATTCGAAACCTGGTAGAAATACCAGAATCCATTGGTTTCATTTCATCTGTGTAAATGAGACCATTGGGACTCCAGTGTGTACCAAATTATACTCACTTTCATGTATGAACTCATGTGACACTCACATATGAAGATACTATAACATTTCCTTGAGGCATAAGGGTAATTGCTATCAAAGATTACTGACTACTATGTAGTATGTAAAATATGTTTCATTCAGAAAGAAATCACATATATACTTCATTAGCAGAATTAAATATTCCATTGTGCCATACAAAGGATAGTCTAAATTTATTCATTATAAAACTTAGAATATTTTTATCCATATTACAAAATATTGCAATATGAGTTTTTGTATTATGAAATAAATGTATTAATTTATTTAATAGACATAAAAGCGTTTAGTTATTTTTAAGCTGAATTATGATTTTTAAACACTTTTTACTTCATTGTACGAAGTAAAAAGGAAGTATTGTAATCGCGAAAAGTTTCAGGCAGCATATTTCAACGAAAATGTCCATTTTGACCGCTTTCGAACGTACGTACGTATTCCGCATAACTCAAAAACTAGTAGCCTCAGAAAGTTGAAATTTTGTATACAGGACTAATATAACATGTAGATGTGCACCTCGTATTTTGGTTGCAATCGGCGCGCCAAACGTATATAATATATTTATGTAATATCCACTCTGTTACCCGGCTCAGTGATCTCAGTTTCTTATCTTATATGTTTGTAAATTGTATATTTTTTGCTTTAAAAATGATTGAATTATGTTGTTCTTATCTTCTGGTTAAGGTTTTTATGCCTTTAGTAAATCTGTATGCAATATTTTTAGAATTATCAGCAATTTTAAAGTTGTTCAAGTGCCACTAAGCCTAATAATTATTTTGATGGCGGCCATTGCTTGTTTACATTTGAAACAGCAGAGTAGTGGATTTGTTGCCAATCTATAGAAACGTAGCTTCGCAACAATAAAGATAACGCCTTCATTTATTATTGCGAATTAAATCATGCTTAATCCTTTCTGGAAATTTTTCGAAGAAATAAGTGTTTTAAGATTTACTTGTAATTTTTAATACAGATATTTGAGTGTTATAATTTTTGTCTTGTCGCGAGTGAGAACTGAATTAATTGAATGTGAAATACTCAATCGTCTGTGAAAAACTGTTTTTTTTGTTTTGTTGCTTAATTTCTTTTATACAGTTCTACTTTATTATAGTATTGAATAGAATATGTGGCAAACGATTAGATAATTCTTTAAAGATATAAATGCTGCATTCTGGTATAATATGTGTAAATAGTTTTTACTCTTGTGAAACGTTTCATGTACTGCGAATTGGTTTTTCATCATTTTAGTTGCCAATTATTGCTCATCAGAATAATTTTTATGAAATTTTTAAAAATGCCTTACAATACACCCTGCAAGAGATGGCGCCACCAGAGGTCCAGTCAAATAAATGCTTTTTATCCCTATTAATAGATGGCGCCACACGAGTGCCTCATTTGTTCAAAGTTCAGTTATTCTACGGACGGCGGCACAGGATCCTACGTCGCTAGTAATCTCTGAGTGCACAGTATTTCCATATTATTGGATACAACTTATTCGATTTTTCACGCATTTAAAAGTCAATTATAATATATTGGTAAAGGCCGTTAATGATTGATTGCGTCTTTCTAAGTGATAAGACATAGGCATATAGACATAATTTTAATATGAACAAAATATAACGCTGTTAAGTGAACCTAGAGCCAGAATGTCTCTATGGTAAACAAATATAGTGAATTTTAAAGAGTGCATTTATTCTATTGTGTTTATGCGCTGTCGGTGAAGTAGATTAATTCAATCCAATAAGTTTTAAAAAAATGCAAGAAAAAATGCGTATAATTTAATACTCCGTACAAGGAAATCATGTGGTGTACACATCAGATTTCTTTTCTTTTGTATTTGGAGAGTGTTTTTGCTTTGTATTGTTTATTGTTTTCAGTTTTATGATGAAATCCCCCTCTGCGATGCATATGTACTGTTTCTCACTAACTTAAATGCTAAGCGCGTTGTAAAGTTTATGTGAACCATGTAAAATTCTCAATTCTTAGCTTCCGAAATATTTATTAAAGAACTCATTTGCATTAAAAAGTTTTTATTCCTAAAAAGCTAATCTGAGTTTTTTTTTATACTTATTACTGATTTTATTAAATTTGCTTCAAATGTTAATAAAAGTACTAGAATTTAAACCAAGTAAAAAAAAAAATAAATAAATTCATTCATTTAAAACGAAAATTTGAACTGAAGGGTTTTCTGGTGCAGGTATAATTACACAGTGTCGATCTCCCATAAAAATGCTCACACATGGGGGGGGGAGGAAATTAATGTTATTTTCTCTGTTGTTTAGACTCTTTAATAAAAGATTAACTTCTTTATAAAAATTAACCGAAAATTGCCAATTCGAGCTTTTATCCCCCCCCCTTTAAATGAGAAATTTTATCTCCTGATGAATTTATGTCCTGATGAATTTTAAGAGCTACGTACTTTAAATACGTGGAATGATAAAAGTGACAAAAAGAAACATATATTGCTTCAAATACTACTTACACGAGATATATTTATTAGAAAAATATGCTATAGGTATAATAATGAAAAAATGCAATTGTACAGATGAGCTACAATAAAATGAATAATAATTTAAGAACATGTCCTTCATCTTTGATCATATAAACATGCCAACATAATCCTCTGATACATATTATTTCTTAGAAACAGATCAAAACTATTTTCTAGTTTTTTAAAATTTAAGATAAATTCGTATTTCATTGACGAAAAGTAATATAAATTAGAAAACTGCACGTAATATATATTGGTAAATCAATAATATCATATACATTTATAATGATAAGAACAAAAATTTGTAGAATGCAGTGAAACTTTTCACGATGAGAAATTCTGAAAATATTCCTGAGAGATATGAATTCCTGAGAGCATAATTAAATAACAGCATTGAGTACTAATAAAAACAAAATTCCTTACGGTGGATGACTTTCTATAGAAGACCAAACTTGTTGGGGTCTTGAACGGTTATTTTAAGAAGGTTTCACTGGTAACATTGTAGATTTATCATACCTAAACTTACACATCATTATATGTTACTGTTTTAATGAATATATACACTAAATAATTATATTTAAATCTATAAAATACACAGAATTTCAGAAGCAAATGCAGATGTTGCGGGTATTCATTTATTTACTAGCACATACAACGAAACCTCTCTAAACCATCCACCCTACCAGATGATTTAGAACTTCCCCGCAGGAGGTTCTTTAAATGGGGGATGTCGTGTACTGATGCTTATTAAGGCTGGCATTATGAAGAAAATTTTTAAGAAGTTCTGATCACTTTCGGAGGCGAATGTCTGCGAGAGGTAGTTGCCATGAAAGATTTCATGGAATTTGCAAAAGTTCATGTATAATTCTGACGGCTTTACTCCAAATTACATTCCCTTTCCCTTCGTTTACTTAGGTAATTCCGTATGTTTAAATAGAACAGTTCTCACACTATTTTTATACGCTAGCTGAAAGTTAAAAAATTATTTATTCCATAATTTGCCCAGCAACATGTATTTTATGTGTCATAACTAAAATAGTTGAATTAAGTTCTTATATGCAACTATTCTTTAAATTCTTTAATGAAAATGTGTTTCAAGAGTGTGGAATGCATAAAAAGTGATTTTATCTTCAAATGTACTTAAATATAATCAAGTTGCGTTTACTGCCCAGACTTACAAGAATTTCAAATTTTAGGAGACCCCAATATAACTTAAGAGTTTAGAATGCTTCTATAATTCCCAAATTATTTTATAATGTCTCACAACTTTTTTTTACCCTCATAAAAAACAAGAAGTGTGAGTTTTAAATAGACCTAAAAACCAAAGTACACCATAAGATAAGCGAAAGAAGGTGTAAATTTACCTTTAAATAAATGATAATCTTCAAATTATGTTATTGTTGTGTCTAATCTAACTTGTATGACCTAATCAGAATAAGTAAACTAATTTTATCACGGCAAAGACTGCAAGACTGCGTAAGTCGTTGGAACGAGGCCTTAAGCATTATATAGGTGGTGGTACGATTTTTTGCAGTTCCGCCCCAATATTCAAATTTTCACTTTGTGTTAATTTAATGAAAAGACTCAGTAAAGGCTACATGCAATGAAATAAGCGCCAAATATATATTTAGCTTTATTATTAACTACTATCATAACATATATATTTGAATTATTATCAGTACACGAATAATATAATGCTGAATCATTATAATTAATGTCATGAGTTATCTAGCGTATCTTAAAATCTATTGTTTTCATGCTTATTATGCGTTCCAGCAGCGTTCTGTGTTTGAATTTAAAAATGTAACTTGCAACACAACCATATAGAAACACGGAACTTAAATGAAATTTAATAATGCATGTTTTGCATTCAGAAATAATTAATTTATGGTATAAGTTAAATCAAATTCTTGACTACACAGGTACAAAATTCCTTATAATCAACGTCCACAAATGCAAATATTAGTGATATAATGCTGAATAAAATGATAGCGACGAGGAAATTGTCGAAAAGTTCTTGAATCTTTAGTCTGCTACTACGATGCCTTCTGTAGACCATATGGAACTGCGACGACTGTTTGGTGCCAAGGAATCAATCAAATTAACTCTTTCATGCTGAAAGAAAAAGCACAGATAAATTTAAGAATGATTTAAGATACTAAATAACCTTAGTATAACTATGAGTACAAATATAGAAACAGCATATAAATTAAATGAAATGCAGATACATTTGACACTTAAGTAACTCATTGTTTCTTATCATAATACTCGCTCTTACAGAAGTTAAATCTAAGAATTCTAAATGAGATAAGTATAGCTTTATTATGTAAGGTTTACTAACTTGTTACATAAGCATATTGCTTTATTACATTATATCTGAGAAATCAATAAAAAATATCGAAATCACCCGCTTCAGTAGAATGGAACAAATAATAACTGAAGATTTTTACACATTTTGCCATTTCTTTAGGTTCTAATGCACTGCATAATCTCTGGTAACTTATGTGCACAAGGTCTCACATAATCACATAATCTGGTCTCACATAATCTTTGAAAACTTATGTGCATAATTGTCTAAACTGCATCAAAGTATTTAAATCTATGTTGGTATGCACTTGTCAGCTATGCACCATACACAGAGAGAAGCTTAACTTTGATCAGAAATTGGGATTTAAGTTTATACCAAAATTTTGCATTTACATGAAAGTTGTTTACATTAATTTTATCAGTTTTTAGGAAGGTTGTTTACATTAACAACCTTCCTAAAAACTGATAAAACATAACCACACTTATTAATTTAGAAGTCAAACAACAAAAATCAGCGTTATATTTTTCACAGGATTAGTTTCGATAGTTTTATCGCGCAAAATAAAAGCGCAAACACGCTTTTGCAGCTGAGGATGATAGTTCGGTAAGACCATCGAAACTAGTCCTGTGAAAATTTGAAAATATAACGCTGATTTTCGTTGTTTGATTTCTAAATTAATATTTGTTCGGCGTATTATTGTACCTTAATTATAACCACACTTGTTTATAGTATATTTCATAATGCGGTTTACAAATGTAAAACATACAGGAGACCACTGGGTGAGCAGCTGAAGACTTGCAGCTTTATTGCTCACTCAGTGGGACCGTCCCACTGAGTAATTTATGTAAAACATACAGCGATTAGGCAAAAATATGGAAAAAGTTATTGAAAGAATGATTTTCTTTGTTAACAGCGCCTTTTGCACTCAAAACTCCGGGATGGCCTTTGAGAATGAACAAATATAAATCCTGTATGTAAATGATTGAGAATAGAATGCTATACTATTTTTTCCCTGAAAACTTGGAAGTTTTTGAAAAAAATGTTAGAAAATACTGGAGATGGATAATGAGTTTGAACATTATTTTCCAAATCTTGTAATTTGTGTATGATGTTAAGGTCTATCGATTGATAAGGCTATGGAAGTTGGAAAGCTTCATTGGCATGCTCAGAAACTCACAAGAGGTTATAACATCTTTCTCATCAATGGAATCTCCTTCAAGAAATAACATTTGTACTACAGGATGATTTAACTGCTCAAAATGCTTACATTCCTTGGCAGTGATATTAGAGTAATAAGTGGACTGGCAAAATATTATATGATGACTCTTCATGATGGAATAGATGGAATATTAAGTCTCCACATGAGTCTAAAATAAAAATCTTGACGAATTATTTTTCATATCTAAATTAGAACCAAACTTGGAAATAATATGACGATCAATTTTCAAACCAGATATGTTATGTTATTTAGAAGTGAGGGGGGCACCTAATATTTACTCTAAGTAAGCAGATATTAGCCCTTGGTGACCTTATGTTACATAGAAATGTACAGTTCATCTATTACCATTTACCTGAAGTAAACAGATAGGAGCCCCTTACTCTACTTGTGAGTGACCTATTTTGTGCTTCATATATTTTGTGGTGCATAATTTTGTGCTCCACATGGTTTGCGTGTGCTCCACATGGTTTGCGTGTGCTCCACATGGTTTTACCAACAACCACAAAACCGTTTCAAATTTTCAGTTTCAAATTTCAATATTTTCAGTTAGAGAAAGCATTTGTCGTTTTGCAGATTCCGTTTACCGTGTGTTTCCATGTTTCTGTCTAACCGTTGAGGATTTTTTCTTTGTTGCAATTAGATGCAATTTGAGGAAATTAATTCGAAGAAAACTATAATCAGTTGCTATACTTAAGTGTTAACAAAATATTTTACGACCATTGACGAACTAATGCATTTAACTTACACTTGGAAAAGTTAATTGTACGTAATAATAAATTCAAATCACCTGCGCTAAACTGCCAATACAGTATGCTTCAAGAAGTTCCATCGTGCTCGGATGATGTCCTGCACCATAAAATGCGACGGTGGCATCCCTTCCTGCATGTTCCATCATGATATCAATTCCACCAGGATGCTGTAAACATCAAATTATTATTCTTTGCATTAGAGTATTTATCCAGGTAAAACCACATTTATGAAACATTATTATAAATTTCTATATTGAAATGTTTCTTACTGTAACATACTTGAATATATAAGCATACTTTTCGTAAGCAAATATTAACAACATTCAGTAACACTCATTTTGCAATCCTGCATATGAGAGCATTAGCATAAATTTATAACATATTAGCATGGACGCATAATCAAAAGACATAAAGCTTTGGAATCTTTATAGCTGCATTATGCAAAGTTAATTCAGTTCCAGAAACAGACATATTAGATTAAAATGTTGAAGAGCTTCAAGTATGAAAGTTTAATATATTGACTGTATATTAAAAGAAGAGAGATTTTTTAACTTACATATACGATACGTTTGTTTGCAAGGATCTTAAGTTTTACTAACGTTTATTTTATTTTAAATCTTTACTATCACTTCTTATTTTCTACTTCCGGCCAGAATTAAAAGCTTTAACTTATTTATGCAAATTTGTCTTGCGAACGCCAAGTACTTAAGTTGTGGCTTTTTGCCAAGCAAGAGAGAGGAAGGAGTAGATTAGAAGCAGGCCGCTTGCCATTAGCAGTTTTACTCGGTTGCTGGTTGCCTTCAAGGCCAGAGGTTTAATCCTCTTGATAATTTTAAACGTATCGTAGTGTTAGCAGTTCTCTGTACTACATACGGCCTTTCTGTTAAATAACGGCCAATCTTCAAGTTAGGCACTTGTTTATTAATCCCAAAGTTAGTTTAGTTAGATTTAGTTATATTTTTATATTCTTACGTTCAGACCACAAAGTGGTTGGTCTCTGTATTCCGAAGTCCGGAAATCATTGTAAAGAGAGAAAAATAAAGGGTTTCGTATACCCTTCCTGTGTGTATCTTGTCTACTTCCCACATTTATTGAACATAGCTTTAGTAAGCTCCCTGTTCCGAGTCAGGTCATTGAATGTTCCCCAAGCAAGTAAGGAGGAATACTGAACCTGATAGTGGCGCCCGACGAAGAAGAATAACCATGGCCGAGTTTCAAGAAGAACCTGTGCTGCCTGCAGAAGCGGCTCAGAATCCAGAAATGCCAGCTGCCGCCCTGGAAGGATTTGGTTACATCGTCCAGACCATGCGCGCATCGATGAAACCAGAAGCAACATTTAATGGAAACTCACCGGTAACCAGTTTTTTGGAAAAATTGGATGACCACTTCATGCTGTATCCAGTGCATGAGTTCCAGAAAGTCACCTTAGCTACCAGCGCTTTGAGGGGCCAAGCGCTTAATTGGTTCAAATGTATAGGCAGAAGTCTCTTGGGTCAAGCGGGAAGTCCCACCTATACCTTCGAAAATTTCAAGACTGCCCTAGTAAAAGCCTTCCCTGTCGTAAGGGATCGTGCAAAATTAGAAACGGAACTTTTCAGCATATATCAGAAACGAATTGAAAATCTCTCAAGCTTTATTTTAAGAAAAATTCACGTCTTCAAACTCTTGTATGGAAACCGTCCGGATTCTGAGATAATTCAAGTGATTTTGCCGAGGTTACTTCCCCAAGTACAAGACTTTATTGAATTAAGGAATCCGACTACACTGGAAAAGTTATTTGAGCTAGCAATCCAGTTTGAAAGTAGAAGAACGGCGGACATTGAAAGAAGACGCCAGTATGAGCAACGAAACCAATTTGGTGCGCCAAGACCACACAGCAAAGTCAAGAACACGGCTACGGAAGCAAAGCGAATCAGTGGGCAAGGAAACCCGAGTATCCAAAAACAACCGGCGAACGTCGACAGTTCAATAGTAAGCCAGAAAAAAAGTCTGAAGGCCAGTGGAAAAAGAAGGAAAGGCATGGAAAGGAAAAACAAGATTTAAACTAAAACGGATTTCTGCTGACGGGAGGGAGGGTGCGGAAATCCGAAGGCCAAGAAAACCCCTCTTCCTTCAAGTTAAATACAGTTTATGGTGAAAAATTTGACTCTTCCAAAGATTGAAGTGTTGGTGAATAACATCCCACCCACCGCACTCCTGGATACAGGCGCGCAGTGTTCCTGTGAGCAGAAGATTTTTTTAGGAAGTATTTTCGGAAATACCGCATATATAATTCGGATAATACGACAGTGTTAGCTGCGCAGGGAGAAAGATGCAAGTGCATAGGTATATTACCACTATACGTTCGTATCAAGAACGAACAAGTAAAGATTATGTTTTTTATAGTAAAGAATCAAGCACATATCATCTTAGGGAATAGATTTTCTTTCAGAGGCAGAAGCAACGCTGGATTTTAACGAAGCGTCCCTTAAGCTGACGATGAAACCAGTTCGAGAAGAGAAAAACAGAACCACCAATGTTAAACCTTGACCACCTGCCTAAGGAAGAGCAACAAAAAATTCCGACAAGTGGTAAGTGAATTTGCTTCGTTATTTAGTGATATTCCAGGATTTACTCAAGTTACTAACCATAGTATCGACACCGGAGATTCACTGCCAGTTCGCCACAAACCATACCGATATGATAAGAATAAAGAAAAAATTATAGAGTGGCACATTAGAGATATGTTACGTAAAAAGATCATAACGCCCATCTCAAGTAGTTATGCTAGCCCGGTTGGTTTTATGTAAGAAAAAACAATGACTATCCAGTAACACATCCAAAAAGGTGGCGTTTTGCGATTGACTATCGTAAATTAAACTCCATGACTAAATATCCGGTATATCCGTTACCTATTATTGAAGAAATTCTAAGGAACATAACTTCTACCAAATACATGACGACTTTAGACTTAACGACTGGTTATTTTCAAATAGGGGTTAGACCGGAAGATGTGCCTAAGACTGCTTTTATAACCAAGTCTGGCACTTATGCATTCCTGCGTATGCCGTTTGGCCTTTCAGGGGCACCGGCAACATTTCAGCGATGTATGGACATTGTGCTAAGGCCTGTTCTTGGAAAGTCCACATTTATCTATTTAGACGATATCATTATTACTAGTGATAATCTGGACCAACATGTACAGGATTTAAGACAGGTGTTTTCATTATTAAATGAGGCCGGTCTAAAAGTTAATGTCGAAAAGTGCAAATTTGCAGCCCCTGAATTAAAATACTTAGGTTACAAAATATCTCAGAAAGGAATCGAGAGACAGACGAATCAAAAATAATCGCTGTGCAAAAGTATCCGCCGCCAAATACGGCGAAGAAGAAGCTCTCTTCTTTTCTAGGACTTTGTTCATATTATAGGTCCTTTATAAAAGATTTTGCAGCTATTGCTGAACCATTGTTAAAATTAAAAAGGAAAAAGGCAAGATTCTCGTGGACGGCCGAAGCCAATAGTGCTTTCGAAAAATTAAAGCAAGCATTAACGCAAGCCCCTGTTTTGAAATTTCCTGAAAAGGATGAAAATTTAGAAATTTCAGCGGATGCTTCGGATTATGCGGTAGGAGCGGTACTTTCGCAAAATCAGCAGCCCGTGGCATTTTTTAGTCGAACTTTAAATCAAACACAAAGAAATTATTCCGCGACCGAGAGAGAGGCACTTGCAGTTCTGTTAGCAGTGCAAAAGTTCCGAGTCTATTTTGGAAGGGCGCCAATAACAGTGTATTCTGATCATGCGGCGGTAACTAGATTGTACTCAGGGAAAAACTTATCCCCAAGGTTAATAAGATGGGCACTCAAGTTACAAGAGTATAATCTGGTAATCAAGCACACCCCCGGAAAGGAAAATATCGTAGCAGATGCCCTATCCAGAATAAAAATAGATGAAGAAGGTAATACTGTAAAGGTGGCAATGCTCACAGCATGTACAATAAATTCCCGAGAAACTGTAATAACCGAACTGGGTAAGGATCCTGAGAATTTAGAAACATTTATGAGTATTTAAAGGATCCTGAAAATTTTAGCCACCAAGATATTGTGGCGATAAGAAATAGGGCGGCCCATTACGAACTAATAGATGGTCTATTATTTTATACAAAAAACTACAAATTCCAACAACGAATTTCGACCTGTTATCCCAGCTAGTCTTAGATTAAATATACTGCAGGAGTTACACGACAGCCCATTAGCTTCTCATGCTGGTATTCGAAAAACCATCCAACGCGTACGCGAAGCAGTTTATTTTCCTGAACTGCAAAAGTTAACAAGGGCGTATGTCCAGTCCTGCCCAACATGTCAAGCAGTTAATTATATTAATTTCCGCCCGGCCGGGTTTCTAAATAGCATTAAATCCGAATTTCCAAATGAAATAATTGGCATCGATTTATTGGGCCCTTTCCCAAAAAAGTCAGTTAAATAAAAGTCGGTATCTCCTTGTTATGGTTGATCATTTTAGTAAGTGGACCGAAATTGTTCCCTTAAAACGAGCCTCCGCGAAATTAGTTACTGATTCTATTTTAAATAAATATATTTTAAAATACGGGGCGCCCCTAAAAGTTATATCGGATAATGGTCCTCAATTTGTAAGTAATATATTTGAAGACATGTGCCAAAAAACTGGGCATACGTCATTTAAAAATGGTCCCGTATCGGCCGCAATCAAATATAGCGGAACGGGTCAATAGAAATATAGTGAAAATTATCCGTAGTTATGTTAAAAATTTTCATAAAAGCTGGGATATAACTATGTCAATGAATTAGCTTTCGCCCTTAGGACCGCAAAACATGATACAACGGGCAAAACTCCTGCTGAGTTATTTTTTAGGCAGAAAGATTATAACGCCGTTAGATAAATTATTTTATGTTCAACAAAGAGCCCCAGAATTTAAAATGGGTGATATAGAAAAATTAATTAAAGAAGCAAAAAAGAACACTGAAGTAGCACAAAGAAAACAGAAGCTCTATTATGATATGAAACGACGGGGAGTAACTTATAAAGTAGGAGATGAAGTATTAAAAATTAAGCATTCACTTTCTTCAGCACCAGAAGATAAAACCGCCAAATTTTTTCCACGATTTGAAGGACCATATGTCATAGAAAAAATAACTCAGGCTGTAGTGGTGTTAAAAGCCAGGAATGGTGAAACATGCTCCGCAAACATTGACCAGATAAAACCATTACTATGACCGTAATAAAATGCAAATATTTAAAGATCTTTTGCAGGATCCGGCACGGCAGGCACAAGCTCCAGAGGTGGAACAACGACAAGCACAAGGGCAAGCCATTAGAGGAGGCAGGAGCAATTGAAAAGAAAGTTTCCCCGTTGGAAAATTGAAGGTAACAAGAAAAAGAAGCCGTTCCACCGACCAGAAAAGAGAGAGCACGACCACTCCCAGAATGAAGAAGGGAGAAGTACGACGAATGCAAAGAGAGCCAGGAGAAATGACGGCGACTATAACCCGGCTCCAAAACGGAAGATCTACCCATCGGACAGGAGTCTACGCAGCAAATGTCGACGAATTGATGACGGAACACCAGCTGCGGAGGCAAAGAAACAAGGAAAATTTGAACAGCCAGCAACGAGATCAAAGCAGGAACGAGAGAGAAGTGTCCCGGTTCCGCCAAGACCAACTGCCATCAAACAGCCAAAACCACAGGCAGAGGCGAAAAAGAAGGTCTTCAAGGGTGACCGAACTGGAAGGAAAAGAAAGCTCATAGAGGAAGGAACAGAAGGGCGAGCCCGCACAAGAAGGAACATAAACCAAACGCTAATCTTTGCTACCTTCCAGGACTGGGCAGAAAAACGAATGTCCGAATATCACAAAGATAAGTAAAACTTTATGTTACTTTGCAACCTTAAGTTAATCTTTCATTCTTACTGCAAGTGGCAGAATTCAAGACGTTTTACTCATGTGAGGTCTACCTTTATCGCCAAAAAGGCGAGAAATGAGTTGTTACCTATTTTGGTATTATGTTTTTCAATTACTCGCGAGTAAAACTAAAATTAATATATAATAGGAATGTGTAAATACTTGAATATTGTAAAAGTTATTGTATAAAATTTTATTTAAAAGATTCTGGCAAGAAAGAAGTTTTAGTCTGAAAGACTTTTGAAATGTAGTATTTCAATGTAGAAGAATTGGCACTTGCTTGGAAAAGAATAGAAGTTAACAATGTACTACTAATGTGTGTTTCAAAATGCGTAAAATTAACGGCATGTTAATATGTTCTTATATACAATGTGAACTGTTATTTTAAGAGTTAAGAAATACTGTGATATGTTAAAAGTGAAAGTAATGCCAAAAAAGTTTTACTTATTCGTGTGACTGTAAAAAGAGAAAATTATTGTGAATATGTGTTAAAGGTTGAATGAATGTAGTTAGGCTCTCTGACGCTACACTTCAGAGTTAGCCACTTTCAGAATAGTACCTCAGGGTTTAGAGATGAAAATAAGGTGTGTTATGAGGTCTTGTTATGTTGAATTTTAACACGTTAGTGTTTTGATTGCAGGTGGTAGTGTTGAACACTTGTACATGAACACATTCGTGTTTGGTGTTTTCTTTTACAACACATGTCAGAGAGCACGGGGAGATAATTAAATAAATTAAATAAAGTCATGAATGAAATAAGAATGTTAAGAGACATAGAAATATTCATGTTACTTGCCATTTAATTGTGTAACATTTCATTAAACTAGTTTTCCTTCCAGATCTCTGGAAGGAACCAGATTTCAACTAAAAGCTCCTGTTTAGATGCAGTACAGATGAAAAGTAATTGTCCATGGAATTGATAATGCAAAAAACGATTTTTTTTTAAATTTCTAGTTTCTAGTGAGAAATGTTTGTAAACGATTGGCCTCGCGTTAGATTCTAGAGCTAAAAGTTTTCAACAAGGTCGTTTTAGACCTCAGTTTCAAACTAATGAACTCTGGCGGGAAGTATGTAAGGATCTTAAGTTTTACTAACGTTTATTTTATTTTAAATCTTTACTATCACTTCTTATTTTCTACTTCCGGCCAGAATTAAAAGCTTTAACTTATTTATGCAAATTTGTCTTGCGAACGCCAAGTACTTAAGTTGTGGCTTTTTGCCAAGCAAGAGGGAGAGGAAGGAGTGATTAGGAGCGGGCCGCTTGCCATTGCAGTTTTACTCGGTGGCTGGTTGCCTTCAAGGACAGAAGTTTAATCCTCTTGATAATTTTAAACGTATCGTAGTGTTAACAGTTCTCTGTACTACATACGGCCTTTCTGTTAATATACGGCCAATCTTCAACTAGACACTTGTTTATTAATCCAAAGTTAGTTTAGTTAGAATTTAGTTAATATTTTTATATTCTTACGTTCAGACCACAAGTGGTTGGTCTCTGTATTCCGAAGTCCGGAAATCATTGTAAAGAGAGAAGAATAAAGGGTTTCGTATACCCTTCCTGTGTATCTTGTCTACTTCCCACATTTATTGAACATAGCTTTAGTAAGCTCCCTGTTCCGAGTCAGGTCATTGAATGTTCCCCAAGCAAGTAAGGAGGAATACTGAACCTGATATGTTTATATCTTATACCAAAGTCATTGCAGAAAGGAACGCTATCAAATGTAGATAAAACGGTTTGAATTTGGCGTCTTAGATTAAATTAGTTATTATAGCAAGGCACTCGAGAATTTCTGAATAACACACTACTAGGCAGTAAATAATTATCATGGGAAAATTATAAGGATAGTTTGATAAATAAGTGGACTGGAGGACTGGACTTGTGGTTTCGGTGAATATAGAAATAAGGAAACATTTATTGTGTTTATTAATATACTTGTCTATAAAACATCTTTCATGCACATGATAAGTCATCTGTTTTATTTGCAAGTAGATAATCAACTCCTCAAACGTGAATAAGTGCAGCGATTGATTCTTTCAAATTTGCGCAGCGGTGTGTAATCCAATTTTATGTGTATGAAAGTATGCAAAGTATACAACGTACTGAAAGTATACAACCAGCAGAGATTTTTGTAGATTAAATGCTGAGACGATGCTGAAACTTTGAAGCGTACGGCAGTACTTAATTGATGCAATAATTAAGAGATGAAAGATAATACAGTGTAACATATCTGTCACATCTAGGCCGTTTGATCAAAGGGAAGGTTGAACAAGCATTGTAAAATTACGGAAGCTAAGCCACGGACCAACAATGGAAACATTATGTGCAACCACATTCAAGAAATGACTTCGAAATTACACCTCTAGTGCTGGAAAGGTTTCATCGAACCTTTTTTTAAACGTTATGTATCTACTCTCATCAGTTAGTTTCTGAAAGGTACTAAAATATCAAGTGATTTGCCGAACGCTGCTCGCTATAGCAAAACACTAGATCGTTTGAGGAAGAACATATAGAACACTCGAGCTGATACACTCTCTCGAGGCATCGCTATCGTACAAGAAAATGCAAGATCATATATAGCAGATAGCATGTTGACAAAATTGTAGGGTTTTGGATGGTATGTGCTACCTGACCTTCTGCACATTTCTGACTTATCGCTACGTAATTTTGTAGAGTTCAGTACACTGAAGAAGGCTTTCAAAGATAAGCGCTCTGCGTCGAAGTGTGAAGTGCATTTTCTTATGGCTTCACTGTCATCCAGAAGAGTTCCACAGAAAAGAAAGCGATACACTAGCATATCTGTGAGATTATTATCTCAAGGATCATGGAAAATATATCAAATAAAAACCTCTTTTTGAATTAGTGAATAAAGTCCTTTTCCAAAATCAAACCTAGTTAAGCCGAGCTTGCTGTTTCAAACTTGAAATACCAAGCACTATAAAAGTAAGCTATTAATCAGGGTAAAATAGACTAGCGATTACATTTTTGTATTTTTGCTAATAATGTATTTGTTCAATGAAAGCGTTAACAGCAACCACTTTTCTGAGATAACGACATATAAAAGTGACAAGTATTTCTGAGGACATAATTAAATGTGAACGTGCAATTAAATGTATGTGTAAATTAAATTCATATGTGGCCAAAATTGTACGGAATAGTGGATAATCATCTTAGTCTGTATTATAAATAATATTCTGTTAATGAAACACTTTTTAATTTCAGAATAAAATGCATTAAATTTGAATTTCATTTCTCATTAAATATTGTTTAAAATGTTCGATTAATTGTACTTTAAAAGATTTTATTTCATGGTCTTACCTGATCTAAAAATGGCGTGACGTCATACACATGATCACATATCACAATCCAGCAGTCATTGCGATGATAATGGTTTGACACTTCGGACAGTGTGTAGGATCTTTCAGTTCTTAAAGGACAGCTCTGAAATAGTCTTTGCAAAACGGTTGATACTACTTCCTTCATGATGAAAAAATAAGTCAACTAAAAGTTCACAGCTTTTTCTGTTTTTCACTTTTGCTTCGTGTTTGTTAGATTACTATCAAAATTTCACCACGGTTTATATTCAAATGTCGCAAAATTTCAATTGAAGTCAAAACTCAATCGCTGTGTCGATTTCCAACTTTTTAAACTCACAGAGATGTTGAAAGTGTGGCTGTAGGCTTCATAAAAATTATTTAGTTAGACAGCTTCTCTGAAGACAGCTAATGATCTTCTACCTATAAAGAAAATGAAATTTAAAAAATTCTACTGTAGAAGAAATCAACTCATATAATATTTCAGAATTATTTTTTAAATTATTATTCAAAATCTTCTTGATTGTCATTATTAAGACCAATAAGCATTACGTATTTAAAAGCCTTAAATCTACTTAGAAGAAATAATGCGGGGTTCTTTTCTCACCAACGTATTATGCACTGAAATGTTAAATAACCTTTATGCATAATTACATCCATTACGCTCGTTTTACATATTCAATTGCTGTAGGGAACTGCAGTGGCTTAAAGATATTTTTGCAAAAAGTTTGACTTTTTGTAGAATGGTGTGAAAATCTTAATGAACAAGTAGATAAATTAACATAATAGAGAAATAAACAAGTAAAATCGACCGAAAGACAAATCAAGTGTTCGTCTTCAATCCAGAATGGCTGTATATACGCATATACGCAACATAGCATACTAAGGATGAATGGGAAAATGAAAAAAGTACAAAGGCTGTGAACGGTAAACATTTCAGTAAAAGCTCTTCAGAGCATATCAGTTATGTGGAGTTGTTATTGAAGTAAAGAAGTCCATAAACCGGTCGTCTTAAACTGCATGCAGGTCCAATGCACAATAAAAAAGCACATCAAGAGCCGATTGTTTTTATCATTTTTAGCTAAAAAAAACGCCCTTTAAATAGAAAAAAAATAATTTTTTTTTTAGTAAATATTTATCAAAACGTACGAAAACAGTAACAATCATGAAACAAAGAAAAACATTCCACTTTACATTTATTTTCTATCCGAAATTTACGAGCTGGTATCTGCAAGAAGGTTCTATTGGTTACACTTTGGAAAAATGGCATATTAAATTTATTAAAATGGCATACACACATTTTGTTACAAATAGCAAATGTATTGGTAGCTAGATATTAAATTTTTAGACTAAGATTTATTTCAAATAATTCTAATATGTTGAATTAACCACTAAATATTTCATTTTTAAATTAAACTAAAGGAAAAGAAATTAAGAAAACTTTTCAACTAGGACAAAACTTGAGAACAAATAAGACAATCTGTTATCTTTTTTATTTACTAAATGTTTCTTCGACGCATACAGAAAAAACACATGCATATGTATGTAGATAATGATAAGCTTCTTTATTTCTTGCTGCAGCTTTTCAGCTACAAAAAATCATACTGTTTCGATCATGATACAGTTTGTAACCTTAGAAAAAACTATTAGAAAATGTCTTTATTATAAGTTGCGGATGCTAATTGGTCAATCTGGTTCTTTTCTTATAAATTTTTTATTGCGGGAAAAAAAAAAAAAAACTGTTCGCGTATAAATGTATTCTCAAACAGCTCCATTTATAGATTTCCTGGGGCGTTTCTCATTTTCGTTTTTAATGTAATCAAATGGATGTAAAATTGAACTAAAAAAAACCATTAAAATCTTTAATCTTGCTTCACATTATTGCCATAGTAACGCAAAATAATTTACAGGAAATGTATTTGCTGGGCGCATGAAACTGCTTCAGAGTCCGCAGGCCACCAGCTTGAAAACACAACTATAAATAACATCCGTCCGATGTTTCATGAGTTCGAAACATTCAGAAGTCGGTTGAAGATTGAAGTGTGCTTAGTGTAACTGAGGAGATTGGGACTGCGCACAGTACTGCGTCACGAGCCGAGCGGCATTTACAAAGACAGGAACAATTACCTCCAGGCAAAAAGTAACAAGGCAGACATGCGGCGTACTAATAGACGTTCGCTAATATAACTCTTTATTGCAACCAGAAGACTGCAAAAAGCTAGTTTGCTCATTGTGCGATCAACATGATGTGTGTGTCTTTCATACCTATCTAAATTGCTTTCTGCGGTGCAGGGAGTATAAGAATTAGGAGAATTAGCATTGAGGTCAATAGTTCTTCGCTATTCAGATTCGATGTAATCTCACTAGCAAATCCTTAGCGTTTAATCGTCTGGAAATAGTATCTGGATGTGGAATCACTTTTTCAAGATCGTTGATAGGCAGGCACTGGTTTGGAAATGGCAGAATTCTCGTTTGGTGATATAATATCTTGGTTCGTACCTAATTCCATATCTTCTAAGATGGTTCAGTCACTGATGACCACTATTGTACTGAGTTCTTCCTCCCTAAGTGTATCATTTTCTGGGTACTGTTAGGCCATCAGTTTCTTTTCAGGAAAGACAATGCTACACATGCAATGATAGTCGCTGAGCAGTTGAAGAATTAAAATATTCGCTGTATGGATTAATTTGCTTATCCAGACAACTAGTGCGCAGGGCCTATTCACAGGTAAAATATGGTCCTTGGAATTGTAAATGTCACATGTATAAATCGATTTTCTCGGGTTTAAATCCAATCAAACAGATATGAAATACTCTTGTGAGATGGCCGGGAACATGTCGCCAACCATCAATAACAGTTCCGAAGTTAAGATCAGAGTTACAAGATGAATTATGATGCTTCAAGATTTAGTCGATGACTTCGTACTGAGTGTGAATGGACTGTCCACATCATGCATCATAATCAAAAGTGATCATATTCTCTATCGCGGACCGCATCTTTCTTACCTGCCGCCTGTCAGATGGACATTTCTGTCTTGCTAAGCTCAGAACTCACAAAGATCCTTTGAATCATTTCTTAATTAGTGCTATTCACCTTTCTCAGAGTATTGCATCTCGACGATGTTATGATACATTTTGCTACGATCTGAACATGTTTTGCGAGGTTGCGGGAGAAAACAAGTTAACATTTTTTTTCAAATTTGGTTATTATTTTGCGAGCTACTGAAATCTTACATTTTTTACATTAATTCTATTTTTATAATCATAACATAAGTAGCCTATTTAATTTAATTTAAATAAAATTATAATACCTATATACGAGGCTATTTTATCCAGAAGACCATGAAGTAGACACAATGAGGTATAATCTCTCTGCTTCGTGAAACTATCCAGTGGATGAGAGACGACTATGAATTTGCTCATAACGGTTTGGTTTGTTTATTTGACTATAGCAAAGCACTCGAGGTTATCTGCTTAAGGAGAGGGATCGGGGACTTTTTTAAAGGGTATTTATTAGCTCGTACACACGTTACATATAAAGAAAATCACGAAAACGCCCGTGCAGGCAGCCCGTTCCCCGGAAGTCGCACCCGTACCGAACTACCAGAATTTTACCGCTGGTCGCCCTGTTTACATGGGGTCTTAAGAAAAGCACTGTAAGCTTGTAGAGACATTAGGTTATTTCGAAGCAGGAGACATGAAAAATGAGCAATGCCCTCGCCGGGATTCGAACCTTGGACCTATCGAATACGTGCCGAGTGTGCTGGCCATTACACTACGAAAGGCATGCTAAGTAACCGAGAGAAACATATTACATATACTCCCTCTTTTAAAGAGCGACTGGGGATTAGGGGACCCAATCACCAAATTCTGGTAGTGGAGAATTACCATCTACCACCTTTTTTTTTTTTTTTTTTTCGGGAGCCACTCTAGAGTCTATAATTTTTTCGTTGGAAATACGGCGGCTTTCGTAGTTTGCGGTCAGCTCAAATAGAGGTTCCAAAGTCCACGAGTTTTTTATCTCTATAAAATCTTGCGACGGTGGGAGCGGCCGAGCGGTAAAGACGCTGAACACTGGTACTTCGGTCCGAGGTTCGAATCCCGCGAACGGGCTGGCTGCATGGGCGTTTTCGTGGTTTTCCCCATGTGTAACGTGTATACGAGCCAGTTTCTCTTAGAAAGTCCTCCACGAAGGCATCCCTTCTTTAGGCAGTTAGCCCTCGTGTGCTTTGCCATAATTGAATAATCCAATCCAATCCAATCTAATCTTGCGCCGGTGGGAGTAATCACGGCAAGATAATTTTTATTAATTCGTCGTCGGGTTTTCTACCATACAATAATTTAACCACCTGAATTTTCTGCAGAATAAAGTTAATGAGATCTTCCCTGTTCATTTTATACCGGGTGTACACTTCGGCTTCTAACTACGCACGGTTCTTTACAACTGGAAAGGTTTTCAGAAGGGCGGTTTTGAAGTTTTGGTACGTTTATGCTGGCGTTACTGTCAGACAAACATAAGATGAGTCACAACAACATACCACAAGTGCTTTAACTAGCAAGTATTACGCCAAGAGTTTTACAAAAATGTTTTATTGACATCTAACTTTACTTCAAAAGCCAGATGAGAAAAACAAATTTATTGCCAGGACCCCCCCCCCCCAAAAAAAAAAAAAGAACTTAGCAAATTTATAACAAACATATTTTTATATTTTAATTTCGTAACTATAATAATAAACCACTTTTGTGTTAATCAAAATGATTTATGGTAGCACAAGCGAGAAGAAAAGTGCCTTCGCATAAAACACTGAATTAACAGAAAATGAAAATACTGATTTATATTTAATCCTATAATTTACTGATTTATATTCAATCTTATAATTTACTGATTTATATTTAATACGAAATCCTATAATTTTTTTTGTTATTGTTTTACTCATCACTTAGTAGTAAGAGGAAAAGAAGCTAGAGATCTGTTTTTCCTTTATAATCTGTTATTCATACCAGAAACCGCATATTAACCAACATTTTCTTTCACTCGATATCGTACACTGTTTTGAATTTACGCAGCACTTCTTATTAATATTTTTGAGACGTAAAATTAGGGAGTGGCTTAAAAGTGGATAAATTTATAAAGAACATTTTCTTCTACAATTTCTTCTACTGATTTAAAAATAGTTCAATTAATCTGCAGCATTGAAAAAATATTCTTGAAGAAATTATCAAAAATATTTCTTTGAAATGTTGCATTACTAAAAATATTTCTTTGAAATGTACAAATGGGCCTAAAGATGATGTGCTGTGGTGCTAGAGTGAAGACGAGAATCCAAGCTCTGAAAGTAAAGATGTCGAAACTGATACGATGTCTAGGAAGGATTTTCTATAAATCAAGTAGTTTGTTATATTTAAATATATACTATATTAGTGCCTATTTAAATAAATAAAACTATTTTTCATTTTTCAATACCTATTATCAAATTATTTAAAATTTTTAAAAATCATTTTTCCAATTTCAAAATCCTATTGTGCTTAAATCCAAGGGCTGCTAGTTTCTATTATTATTATTTTTTTTTTCAATTTTCCAATTTGAAAGTCCTGATCTACCTTAAATTCGAAGTAATTATGCTAATAATTGCTGCGGACTAACAGATCATTCAATTTAATTAAACCATAGCTCAGTAAAATTTCAACAATCATTGAAATTCACCCTTTATATGAACTCAATTTAAACAATATTGCATTCATCAAGGTGTGTTTAAAATAAAGGTCACCCCAGCTCTGCAGCCAAGTTAGTGGAGCAAAAATATAACAACAGCAGCGATCGAATCTTGGGCCCGCAGCCAGATTTTCCTAAGGAGGCACAATTCCGGTGTCAAGTGGTTGAAGGGAAGAACAATGCTATACAAGAGAGCCTTCTAGGAGCCAAAAATGCTGCCCAGAAATAGAAAGAGCACGTGAGATTCCAAAAGTTTAAAGTTAGACTCTCTATACAGACAGGATTTGGTCTTAACAAGTCATCCGTCGCTCGAGTTCGTTGTTTTCGTGGGAATATAGAAATGTATCTAATTTCGCCTACAAAAGGAGAGGATTGTTTGCCTAATACGGAAGAAAAGACACACAGATTCATCCAGAATTCATCTTCGGTCAAGCAGCACGACAAAAATGCACATTATGATTTAACAAGCTAGGAGAGGAAAAAAAAAAAAAAAAAAAAAAAAAAAAAAAAACGCGCAATGACATGTAAAGGATGGAATATACAACTGATAATTCAAGAACGTATTGCGTCAAATTAAAAAAAAATTTCTTATATATGTCACACCGCTGTACAACTGCAAAAATTTATATGCACTGTAACAATAACAGAAGTTTAATTAATTCGTTACCATGTTCAAAATTCAATTAATTAATAAACAAGCGATCTATGCAAAGAAAATTAACTTTATTTCTGGCCCTTCATGTCTTTACTATGTTAAGGTACAATTCAGGTTATCATCCTGAAAATAATTGAATATTAATTAATTTATTGGAGTAATTTGGATTGAAAGACACTGAAGTTACGGAAATTAAATTGCAGTTTATATTGAAGGATGCGTCCTTATACATGCAGTATTTATAACATTTAACCTTCTCGGAGCAGGGAAACGATGAATTAACTATACACGGGATTCGAACTATAGACCTTCCCATTCTCAGCTGTATGAATTTAGGAAGGGATGTGATACTTCTTACCTTCTCTCTGACTTAAAGGCGACGGGGGTACGAATTTCAGACAACGAAATCCAGATGGTGACGAGTTATTGCGTGCTACAGTTTAGTTCTAATGCCACTGTCTATTAGTATTTTCGGAGCAAAAAAACATGATAAATTGAAGGTGCTCTAAAGGGGATTTGAAACGCTAATTTTGCATTTCCGAGCTGGACGTGTTAACCATTTACAACGCTAGAGTATGCACGGGGAATGCTATAATTCCTTGCAACTTAAGAAAATAAAATTGAATATTCACAGCATTTCTAAAGGTAAGGCGAACGTAAAGATTCAGAGAACGCTAATAATGAATTATTAGCCCGAAAGATCTAATTATTTTCGAATTTGCGTTTGCGATATTGCTTTGTTTCACTTTTCATTCGAGTCTGTTATCAATCGAAAAAACGTACGATATTATTCTTTTATATTTAATCTGTTTGTTATAGTTAACAAACTAAACTATTTAAAAGCAATGCATGCAGTTCTTAATAATATTATTATTATTTATTACTTCTTCATTTAATTGATTTAAAAATGCATATAATTCATGATAGATATATATTAAAAGCATTAAATATTTTTACAAAATTAGATTGTATATTTTGTCAATTTTTAAAATCCTATTGTGCTTAAATCCAATTTTAAACATACAGAAGATATATAACGTTGTTAATCTAAATGTATATTCATCTAATATTCCTCTACAGATAAACCATTTATATTATATTTTAAAAGAGCCTTTTGGGTTATCTTTAAAATATGAAACTCTTCAGACGTTTTAAAACTTTTTAATTATGTTATTTTCTTACCTGAATTACATAATAAAACTATTATAATGGTAAAACTCTTACAATGCATTACATCACATCTCTTTTATTTTTAGCCAGTAGCAAATTACTGAAAGTTCTTACTCGCTATCTAAAATTGGCCATTCTTAGAAAACCTAGTTCTATTCTTTATCCAGAACGTTGCCAAAAAACTTTAATTAGGGGAAAAAATTCAAAAATAGAGCACCAGCTCCATTTATCTCGCAAAAAGGTAAACCTTCCGTACGTCTACAAATATGAGAGAAGCTTACATGTATTTTATTAAGAATAATATATATTTTCAGAGTTATATTTAAACATTAATAATTTTATTGTAGTGTAGTTGATATTTTCTAGTAAGTATATACAAGCATTATTGCCATGTTGTTGGCATAATTATACTTATCTGCAAATCCTAATGTTAAAAGAAATGTTGCAGAATATTTTTATCGTTGTAATTATTACTAAACACAAATTTTTTAGAATTAATTATAATAAACAAAATAATTTTTGTGCATATAAGATTTATAATATAAATGAAAATACATTTATAGCAGATTTACGATAAAATGCGTTTTACAAACGTTTTTTAATCTAAGGAGTAAAGACATTCTTACGAAACTTATCTTTCGTGTCTTCTGTCGTGAGAAGTAGACTTCAGATTTAATAAAGATTAAATTATATAAAAGTATTCAACATATTTAAGTCATTAGCTGGGACACTTGCATTAAATAATTAAATCTATTTAAGAAATAAACCTGTAAATAGAAGTGCTATTTTTACCCTTTAAATTGACCAGTTTGGGTATATGAGTCAAGATTCTTAACTGATAATTGAAATATTGCTTAACTGACAAATAATACTGTAAAATTATCTTTTTTAAAGAAAAAATACCTTTTTTTTTTTTTCGCAGTAGCAGGCACTATAATTAGCAGCTGGGTTTGCAGCTACGCTACCGTTTACTTCATTATTTAGATTAAAACTAGAATATCGAGAAAAATAAAAGGCTCCTCAAATAACTTTAAAAAAATGTACAATTTTATAAACTATAAGGGATAATTAAATCTGATAGCTAAGAATAATTAGTTTTTTTTAATAGATACGAAATAAATGAGCTTCAATGCAAACGGCATTGAAAATATTTGCTTTCTGGTGTAAGTAGTACAAATTTAATAACAATTTTTTTTCATTTAAAAATTTTATTTGCCACCCAACTGGGATAGCGGTTAGCGACGCTGACTATCGTACCAAAGGGTTTGAATCCCGGGAAAGGCATGGATGTTTGTAAATGTATAGTATCTGTTCGGCATGGGGGCACTCTAAAACTGCGAAGAGCCGAAAGTCCTCTCGAGAGGTTGGTGGCAGGTAAAAAGGCAGGGATGGGAGACCCCTCGGACCCATCCTTCCGGAGTGCTCTCCATCAAGACTGGAAGAGGAAAGGAGCAAACTCGTACTGTCATTTGTATGCTGCTCGAGACTCTTGCCAACGAGAGGTGCAATCGTGCACTCCTTGCCACGATGAATTTCGTGGCTTGTTCTGATGTTATTGTTAGCAAGTAAGATAAGTCACAAAACAACAACAACATTTTATTTTTATTACGTGCAATGTTCACAAAGATCCTTTACCCAGCCTTATTTTCTTAACCATTGATCGTAGACATATACTTCGCTTTAAATGATGCAAATACTCATGTTTTGGCCTCTTTTGAATTTAAAGAAATCAGTTTTGTAAAATCCTTTTAAATTCTATTTTTAATGGAGCCTTCTTCTTTGAGTTAACCCAAATTTTTTTATTAAACTCAAGACGAACTACCACGTTATTTCGTTACTTTTACACCAGAAAGCAAATATTACTTAAATACTACTTACACCAGAAAGCAAATATTTTCAATGCCGTTTGCATTGAAACTCATTTATTTCTTATCTATTTAAAAAACTAACTATTCTTAGCTATCAGATTTAATTATCCCTTATAGTTTATAAAATTGTACATTTTTTTAAAGTTATTTGAGCACCCTTTTATTTTTCTCGATTTTCTAGTTTTAATCTAAATAATGAAGTAAACGATAGCGTAGCTGCAAACCCAGCTGCTAATTATCATCAGAGATTTATTTCAGAATCAGAGATTCCTTTGAGTAAGTAAACATCAGGGAGGGGGGAGCATTTGACTCTGCTTTCTAATGAATGTTTTTTTGCATTAACTCACCTATTCTTATTCCCAACGTTACGTTTAGCAAAGAAAAAGAGGCAGTTTCTCGCATAAAATTATACATGAAGTCATTAGGAAGAACCTTAAGAAGACAATCTTCCTGCACTTTCCCACATTTAGACAAACAAACCAGCCAATAATAAGCATCTTCAGTTCTGTCGGCTGGAACTTATTTTTACGTGAGACAGTACCGGCGTATCATGTTTCGGTTGCAAATTTTAGTTTCAAAAACGGATGGTTATTCTATTCAATGACAATATCTTCCGTGAATAATTTGCTAATTATTAATTAAGTATTTGCATATCAAACGATAATGTTTTCTGAATGCTGCTGTATTGACACGGGCAATCTTAGTGTTGACAGCTAGGATTGCTGACCTAATCTTCCAAATGGAAATAAACCTCGTCGATAAGATATTTATTCTGCCAATTTGCCCAATTTTTAATAACTCCACAATTAAGTTAGTAAAATTTAATCGCTATTCGATGTCTGTGTTCTTTAGAGGCTAACAAATATCGTATCTTATACAGAAACAATCTTACAGAATCTTTGCAGTGAATTCATTGATACTTTTAATTTTGCAGGAAGCTTTAATGCTGAAAAGAACACTTCCCCCAAAGAAAAAATATTCACGACCTGTATATTTTCTGCTGTGGTAAGAGCGGTTTTACTGTCAGAGTCTGAATTTTTTTTTATAATAAGGATTTCGAATGACTGGAATCTCGCCAAAATTTTTTTTAAATTATAAAATAATTGATAAATGTTAAACCATGCCAAGAATTAAAAAATTTTAAAACCCTAAACTTATCGTGCAATTACAATCCCAGTCGAAATTTTTTTAACCCAAATTTTTTTATTAATCTCAAGACGAACTACCACGTTATTTCGTTATTTTTAATAAAATTTTTTAAGTAATTTCCAGCGATAAGAAATTCAAGAAAAGGGGTTAGTTTTTAAAATCAAAAATACCGGTACCCTACAGAAGGCTGTCAGGAAAAGACAATATTAAAAAAAATAAGTAATTAATGATAAGAGTTAAATAAAAAGTTTATATATATATATATAATAAGATAAATATTCTAGTGAGCTCGCCGAAATGTTACCAGGAGCTGTGGCTCCAAGAAATAGTTCAACGCAGTATTTTTTAAAGTAATAACATTGAAGGGGGAAAAAATAGCCTACACGCGAAATAAAATGCAGAAAATAAAACTGTTAAAATCAATCGTTGGAAACATGTGAATGGCAAAAAATACAGTAAAACCTATCGATGTGATAAGTGAAAAGTTAAAACATATAAAAAAACTGAACGACGGAACAAGTTAAAACAAAATTAAAACATATGAAAAAAATCAATTACAAAATTATAAAAATTACAAAGCGGAAAATGGTAAATTAGCCTAATTAGACTTCCAACCTGGCTTTTCAAAGGAAATTCAGTTCAAAAAAATGCTAACACCATTACGCGTTTCGCCGCCGAAAGACATTGAAGCTCTTGTGTAACGAAAAATTAAAAAAAAAAAAAAAAAAAAAAAAATTAAATAATATGAATTGTCCCGAAAAAATAATATAATAATACATTTAGATACATAGATGATATTATAACTTTCAATAATAATTCTGCCTTTGAGCAAATCAAAATTTACCCAAATAGTTTAACACTTAATAAAACGAATACGAATCAAGATACTATTGAATACCTAGACCTGCTAATTATTAAGCACAGCAAAGTTAAAATATATGATAAAAAGGAATTTCCATTTTCATACTATTAAGCTAATTACTTGGAACTCTAATATTTCTAGAAAAGTAATAGAAAACACGTTCTAGCAAATAATCAGATAAAAAATATTGTACTGAAATAGAGATTTAAGGAAGAAATAATAAGCTAATTAATGTTCAGTTGATAACCAAGTACCACCAATTCATTAATTTAAAAATTAAAAGGCAGGCATTAACTTTATAATTTTTTAGCTCTTTATGGTATGATAACATTACCTAAACCTTAGCTGGAGGGTAAGGGAGGATTAGAAGAGTAAGGAATTATCTTTAATTTTATTGTAAATAAATTTGTAATATGTATATTTAATCAATACTAGATTCTTTCCTTTTACTAATAAAGGGCCAACTCTTTTCAAAAGTCTCAATTACAGCCCGAATTGAGTGACTTCTTCTAATTTTCCATACTTTAACCAGTATTTAGTAAAGTTTTGATATACCAGTTGGAATCAAGTTTATTAAAACTTTCAATATTTCCTTT